GCACAGCGCTGCCCTGCACCCACCGGCAGCTTCCACGGCCCTCGTGCGTCAGCCGGCACGCGAAGGGGCAGGCACCGAGCCCAGCCCCAGCATCCCCGTGTCCTCGGGGCAGACCCAGGCTTTTAAAAAATATACTGAGGGCTTACCTGAGAAAACAAAAGCAAACTAAACGACCCGCCTCTTTGCACAGCTGCACTTTAATTACACATGTGGCTAGATTAAAATACGCAGGAGCAGGTGAGGGTGAGAGTGTGGGGGGACAGAGCACAAATGCACGTGCTGGGTGTAGGTCGTGCTGTCTCTGAGACCCCGCTCCTACGCCTGAAATGCCGCAGCACATTTACTCCCGGCTGCCACCGTTTCTGCCTTGCTCATGTGTCCACTGTGGGGAGGAAAGCTGCAATGCTTCTGGGTGGCATCGTCTCGAAAATAGTCTAAGCATGCCCTGCTTAGACACTTAATGTGGAGCAAAATCAGAAACCTGCTAATGCACTGCTTCCTTTGACAAAAGAAAACGTAACAATGCAGAAAAAATAATATCAATCCATCCCTGGTGCTTCTTCACTGCATCTGACCCCATCCAGAGACTGCACTGAGTGTGCTGACAGTACTCAGCAGCGGTTGGTTAAAAAAACAAAGCTAAATGTGCTGCACCCGTACCTGGAGGAGCTGGTGACTTGCCCAAAGCCAGGCAGGGAAGTCGGGGTGGGAGCAGGGAGCTGCGGCTGGCCAGCCTCTCCCCAGCGCTGCAGTTGAGCAGAGGTCTGGGGCTTAGGAGGGATTTCTGGTTTTAATTCTACCCACCTCCATGGTGACATTGGCCTTTCTACAACCTGAAAGAGAAGCAGCTAAATGGCTGCTTTTAAGCTCATAAATCCAGCCCCGTCTGAACACCCCACGTTCCCTGGCTGCCCTTCTTTAGGAACAAGTCACTTCTAACACCCGCCAGCGCTTTCTGCAGCAGCTGCTGGTTTAAAATACCCCGTGGCAGCAAAGAGCTGTTGCCACCCCCGAAAGCAGCCCAGGTCTTGCCAAGCAGCGGGGTGTGCCGGTCCCTGCCGTGCCTCAAGGACCGGCCGTGCACAGGCAGAGCGCTCAGCATCAGGTACCTGCAGGCACCCACTGCCCCGTTGCTGCCTGCCAGGGGCTGCGACCTGCAGCTTCGCTGCCGTGGAGGGGCCCAGGGAGCCGGCGTGCAGCAAGCTGCAGACACGGACAGGCAGCAAGAAAGGTGCAGAGACACGGGGAGAAACCAGGCGGGGGCTGTGAGATGGGCACCCTCCACCGAG